ACAGGGAAGAAGGATGGGGGGTGGGAAAGCGTGTATCCCTGGTTACCAAGTGCTCTATATCCTGTTGGGAGCTCCATGAAGTTGCCTTCCCGTACTCCCTGTCTGCATTCTTTGGCAGCTGTAGCCCAAGATGGGGAATCTGGCCATGTTAGCTGGGATGAAACCTCCACTCCATATCTTTCCTCATTCTCTGTCAGTTTCTTATTCTATTTGGTGCTTGATTGAGTTCTTTACTCCTTCATTTGGTACTTAGGGTTCTAGGATTGACTTTTGTATCTGTTTTCCTTAGTTTTTCGGGTCTTTGCTGCAGAGGGGCAGCACGGTGCTTCCATCTATAATGCCATATAGGCTCCATCTCCAACACCAAGCAATTTCTGAGGACTGCTCCTGCAGGCATTAATTCCTATGCTTTCAGCATTCTCCATGCCTAGGCCAGGCAAGAGAAGTTCACAGACAGGAGGATGTTTCTTTTCATGAACTGGAATGTTGAGTAAAATTTCTATCTAGCCAGTACATAAGGCAGAAGATTTGCGGCTATTTACTGTGGTATCTTCAGATTAAAATAAAAGGTGATTCCTCTGATTGCTCCAGCTGTACTAGATATAGTAAAGACTATACAAGAAGTGTAACAGGCCAAGGAGGATGATATGCTTTTATTGTCCTATCTAATAACACCCTCTTTGCACCCCAGTTTTAGAATCCAGTTGGGCACTATTTGCATTCTTGTGCAATGGGAAAGAGTATATATTCAACAGCAATATTTGAATTTGCAGTTTTTTTTTTTAATATTTTATTGTACTTCAGGTGAAGGCTTACAGAACAGATAGTTTCTCATGTAACAGTAACACACATGATGTTTTATGACATTGGTTAACAACCCCACAACATTTTAACCCTCTAAATTCTTTTTTTTTTTTTTTTTTGGTGAAAATACACATAGCCAAAGATACGCCATTTCAAAAATTTTTACATACACATTTAAGTGACATTGACTACGCTCTTCTAATTGTGCTGTTATTCTCACTTAAGATGAAGGCTTACAGGACAAAATAGTCTCCCATTTAACAGTTACTACAAATGTTGCCCTATGACAATGGTTAACAATCTCACAACACATCAACAATATCCTTACTCTACTTTGTGTTCCCTATCATCAGCTTCCTACTCCCCTTCTGCCTTCTGGGCCTTGTCACTGGACTCCTGTACCTCGTTACTCTGAATTTGCAGTTTTATTCCCATATTCTAGTGAAGTGGGATTGGATTTAACAAGCATTAAGAGTATCTTCATGCCCTGCTTTGATGCTGCCATGATCACTGCTTCCTTAAAGGAATAAACTCAGGAGGATTGAAGGATCACAGTCAGTTACATGACAAAGAGAGACTGGCCAAAAAATCTAGGTAAAATTCTAAGTCCAATTTCTGCTTCTTACCATGACTACTCAGCAATAGGATAGAAAATGATCTTCTTACTGATTAAAACTAAAAATATGGACAAAATATTGGAAACAACACTTTCAGACATTGACAACAGGTAGCTCAATACCTGAGAGAAGAGAAACAATTGAAGTTAGCCGTACGACTGTCTCAGCTTGCTGCTGAGGTGCGGGGAGAAGGAACGCAAACTGAACCTAGTGGTCATGTTGTATTGAAGGAGAGAGAGATCAAAGTTCAGGCAGGCCAACATGGCTAAAATTTGTAGGGCACAGTAGCATAGAAGAGAGGGCAATGCAGAGAAAACCCAAACCAAACCAGTTGTCATTGAGTCAATTCCGACTTACAGTGACCCCATGTGTTTCAGAGTAGAACTGCACTCCATAGGGTTTTCATGGTTGTGACCTTTTCAGAAGCAGATTGCCAGGCCTTTCTTCTGAGGCACTTCTGTGCCAGTTTGAACTGCCAATCTTTTGGCTGAGGGCTTAGCCGTTTGCACCACCCAGGGAAAGAGCTGCATAAATCTGTATGGCATTCTTCAGCCTTTGACTGATTATTACTCTACATATTCATAGTAGAAATCTCACAAGGACGGACAAAGAAAAATTTAACAGGAAAGAACCATTGTTAGGTAGCAGTACGATGAAGAATTTCCTGATCTCTTACAGGGCTAATAATTGTGAGTTCCCATTGGACAGACTGGATAGACTTCATTGAATATGCAGAGCATTTGGTAGAGACAGCAGTAAGGCTCAGCCTTAAACATTGCAGTTAAAAGGCAGGTATTGTCAGAATGGATAAAAAAGACTCACCTACTTGCCGTCTATGAGATACTCACTTTAAGGACACAGGTAGGTTAAAAATAAAAGAATGTAAAATATGTGCCATGCAAATTCTAATAATAAGAAAGCTGTTTATATTAACATCAGAAAAAGTGACTTCAAAGCAAGGAATATATTACCGAGGACTAAAAAGAGAAAATTTATAATGATAAAGACCTAAGTCATCAAAAAGACATACAATACTGAGTATGCACCTAATTACAGAGTTTAAAAATGCAGGAAGTAAAATCTGCAGAAATGAAAGAAGTATAGAAACGTGTAATTAAAGTTGGAGATTTCATTAATTCTTCCTCAGTATTTGATAAAATAGCAAAAACCAACCAAACCCGTTGCCATCGAGTCAATTCCAACTCATAGCAACCCTATAGGACACAGTAGAACTGCTCCATAAGGTTGATAAAATAAGTAGATAAAAATTTAATAGTTATATGGAAGAATTAAACAATGCTATCAACCAACTCCTACTACCCGTCTGACACTGTCATACTGTGAAGAGTATGTGTTGCTATGATGTTGAAAGCTCTACCACTGGTATTTCAAATACCAGCAGGATCAGACTAGTAAGAATACCAGCCAGACAGACTAGTAAGAAAGGCCTGGTGATGTACTTCTGAAAATTAGACAGTCAAAACCTTATGGATCACAACAGAACATTATCAGACTCACTTGCTTTAAACACAGCATCAGGAGGGATTAATCTCTAGAGAAGGACATTGTGTTTGGTGAAGTAGAGGGACAACAAGGGCGTGGGAGATCCTTGGTAAGATGGATTGGCACAATAGCTTCAACTATGGACTCAAATATGGTGGTGATTGTGAGGATGACGTAGGACTGGGCAGCATTTTATTCTGTTGTACATAAAGTTACCTTGACCTAATCGATGTTTAAGAATGCTTTATCCAAAAAATGGAGAAATATTCTTTTCAAATGCACAGAAAGCATTCACCAAGATAGACCACATTCTAGACAGATAAAACTCTAAATAATTTTAAGATAATTAAAATCACACAATGTATGTTTTCTGATTACTGTAGAATTAAATAAGAAAGCAATAATAAAAATATATCCCCCAAATCCACAAAGCATCTTGCTCCCTTCTTTCTAGATTTCAGCTATTTAGGTGCTATGATGTCAGAGCTCTACCTCCCCATACCAATGTGATTGGCATGCTCTGCTATGCGCTCGCTAGCCTGCAATCAGAAAATTGATTTTGGATCTGGAACAATTGTGGAGCTTAGTTTGTAAATTTGCCTCCTATCAGGGATCTCATTCTTGTGCTGCCTGTTGTTTAAAACCTATAAATTGCCATCTCATGTATTTTATTCAGTTATATTGTTGTTTATGTTGGGCATGCCCCTCTGCCACAACCAGAAGCAGAAGTCAATGGTTAAACTGTAAACATTGATTTTAGATATTTAATTTCCTTAAGGAAGCCCTGGTGGTGTAGTGGTCAAAAGTTAGAATCCACCAGGCGCTCCTTGGCAACCCTATGGGACAGTTCTACTCTGTCCTATAGGGTCACTATGAGTCAAAATTGACTCAATGGCAACAGGTTTGGTTTTGGTTTTAATTTCTTTAGGTGATATTTACTGTCAAATAGAGTAGATTTAATTCATCATCCAACATTTTGCTTTGCGCATGTCTCTACTTGGGTAACTTTGCTCTGGAATTCACACATACAAACTGTAAGAAGAAAATATAGTTGGAGAACTAATAAGGAGATGATCTACTAGGTTAAATGAACGTAGCCAGATGTTCCACACCAAGCAGTCATAGGGAAGCTTCTTGCACATATTAGTAGCTTTGTGAACATTACCAACATAACCCCCTCTAGAGAGATAATTACCCAAACATTCCCCTTCTGAGGAATATGTGTGCAAAAGGATTACTTTCCCCTGGACCAGTGCAACCCTTCCACAGATTACATGGCTTGATAATTTGAGCATGGACTGTTGGATCAATCTGCCTAACCTAGGCAGAGTCTAGGTTGTGACTTATTCTCTAGAAATCCCATTCAGAATGTAGACCCTAATGTTGATAAGGTCCTGCGTGTCCCATTATTTGTGCCTCACAACACACAAATCAACCACGCTTATGCAACTTGCTACTGTGTTATATCTAGTACTTCTGAAGAAAAATGTCCTTTAATAAAGAAAACTTTTTTTTACATTATATCCGTTATAGATGCAAACGGTAGAGCTCTTAGAAAATCCAGAAGGTGTAAGAATAAAATTTCATAAAAGAAAGCAACTTAATTCACAACTCATAAAAAACTTTTAATGTGCTGTGATATTTCTAGTAAATCTTTTTTTTAAATGGAAGTCTCAACTTTAACAAAATCACTATTAATGCCACTTAATTGACTGGGAAAGGGGTTCCTTACTTCAACTTCCAGATTTAAATTAAAATTAATCGGTCCTTTGTTATTTTTCTTGGTTTTGATGACCTTGAAGGAGAAATAAAGAAAACACAATGAGAGCCCAGCAATTGAGATGAAACTCGTGTCACATTTCACTCCTCACCCACATTGCCTTTCTTTGCCATGAGTCACAACATTCACCTTGTCCTTCCTCAAAGGCTGTTTGTTCTTTCTTACCCATCTTATTTAATGTGTTATCTTTCTTTTGAGTCACAACCCACTCTGTATTATTGTCTTGTGTCTGAAGATAGGTATTTCCTCATGCCTAGCATGGGCCCATTTGAATAGGGCAGAAGTGTCACAAATAGGATAAGAGAGAACAACAGGCATGAGAGAAGAGCCGTTTCACCAAGTGCAAAGCCTTGAGGGGAGGTTCTAATTGTGGCAGAAAGGCGGAAGGAGAATACAACTGATAAGGGGTTTTACGTGGCACAATTGCTGTTTCTTAAATAAGAATACAGGGATGTTGAATTAAGAAATATGAGAAGTGGAACAATTTATGCACGTGTGTATGGCTGTGTCTGAATCTGTCAATATTTCTATCTGAATCATTAGTGCTTAAATTTAACTTTGAAAATTGTTATTAAGAATCCCAGGGTATATGAGACAGAGTGTGATGTCATATAGAATCAACCAAAACTTTCTCCTGTGGGCCAGGGTGTGCATTTCACTAAAGGATTGTGCCTTTTGCTCTAAGATACATGTATTCCAAAAGCCTGGAACTTCCTTCATAAGTTATATCTGGCAAGAGCTCTAAGGAACTCGTATTGTCCTTCTGTCCATGCCTTCATCCTCATGTCTCTGATCTTCTCTCCAGCTTTCATAAGTATCTGGACTCTCGAGCCAGACAGCGTGGATTCAAATCTCATTTCCACAACTTCCTAACTGTGCCAATTAGTTCAAATTCCTTACTTTTTCTGAGCGTCTGCATCTATATCTATGAAATGGAAATAATTATTATATCTTCCTCCCTGTCTGTTGAAACTATTAATTGAGTTAATGCATATATAGTGCTTAGCACATGGTGAGTGATCAGTAAGTGTTTTCATTTAATATAAATGTAAGTTTCTGTATTATTATTTATTTTAGGCAATGTCATCCAAACCCACAACCTGAACTATCATGTGCAAATTGACAAATCCATAAATCTTCAGCAAAAAAATTGCTTTTTTTCCATATCTGTTATATCCACATCTGTGTATCTCCAGACTGACGGCTAGAAATTTCTTGGATATCCTTTATGTACCTCGTATTCAGCCTGTCCAAAATAGAATATATTTTCATTCCCTGAACCACGTTCTACTCCTGCATTATCAATCTAAATGAATAGTAGCACTATTGCTCCAGTTGCCTGGATAATATCCTTGAATCATCCATGAATGATTCCTGGATCCTTTATCTTTCTCACCTTCATCACTTAATTAGTCCCAAAATGGTAAGGCTCTACCTTCAAAAACATTTTTTCTTCTTTTTCCTTTATTCACATCCTGCTGGTCTTTCCTCTTCTAATCTAGATTTTTGAAATAGCCTTTTTTGAAGTGGCCTTCCATGTGGTGTCGGTAAGCCAACTTTCCAACTTTAAAAAGTTCTGATGTGTAGCACTTGCAGAGTTTGGAAGTGTCCTTACTGCCATCCTGGCTGATTTCAAGATGCCATAGTTTTAACAACCAGCTCACATAATTCTGAAATATTTAACAATGTGTTCTCTATAGTTGTGGCATGAGCAGACTCCAGCTTACCACTACTTCTTCCTCCAAACCTGCTGTCTAATGCTTCTTTGTAGATTGTCGCCAGAAAGTTTTTTTTGCTACAATGTCAAAGTCATGAGGCATTATTCTGCACAAAATCTTTCAGTGCTACCTATTTTTCACAATGACGTTTCCCTTTTTTATTTATAACGTTAGGCTGAACTATCCAACACTTCATTTTAAACTCTGGCCTCATCTTCTCATAGTCTCCCACATCTACCAGTGTGTTCGTATTAGAGAACTCATTGTGCTGTTTCACCATTTTGACTGTTTTGAATGTGTTATTTCCTCTGCCTAGAATTCTTTCCAATGGCTTTACCTTGCTAAGAAATATAGTACCTACTTTAGACTGGTTTCTAAGGATGTGTTAGACACTGAGATGACTAATATGTATGTGTCATCTCTTAACATTTCAACAAACACTATGAAGTAGAAACTTCCACCATTGTAGAGAGAAACATTAAAGCTATGTCCCCAATATCATGCTGGCATCAAGATCCAAAGCAGGTCTCTCTTCTTCCAAAGTCCTTGCTCTTGAACACTATGTGAAATTATTTCCCCACCCTACTAATTTATACAAATATTTTACTGTTTAAAAAAAGTATCATATCCCTTTGAAGCCCGTAGGAATATTTTATCTTTAATATCTTTAAAAAAAAATCCTCCACTTAAAATACTCCCAGCACCTGCTGGACTTTGAGATTCCACCAGCAGGAATCTAAACAAAATAATTTGCCTTTTTGGCAAACTAACGTTCTTCTCTCCAGTTCTCACCTGGATGAAACTGTGAATCCCACATGTCAGTTTCAGCTTGTGGTCAATTGTTCTCAGTTGTAAGCAGAAGAGTCGAAGCTTATCTCCTTCCTCACATTTGATGTTGTACCATTTTCCGTTCCCCACTACATCCATCTTTCCTGTATCATCCTGTATTTCATAGATCGTGTTCTTCTTATTCACTGTTTTCTGCAACAGAAGATTAACATCCAGTTTCTGACAACGTAGTTATTAACTGTAATATGTATGAGAAAATCCTCATGACAGAGTAAGTACAAGATTTAAGATAGTAATTACTCATACAGATGTACATGGAGCTGGGGATAAGTCATCTCAGAGCTCCTTCTTTTTATTTAATCTGCTTTTCAGTTTTTCTTGTTCTAGGTGTTTTTTATTTCTGACATTTCTAGGACAATGAGTTTTTTTTTTTTTTTTTCCTTCCTATTTTCACCTGGTTCTATCTCCAGGGAACTATATGTCTTAAAGCACCTGAATATAGAGGAATCAGAAATCCTTGGTGTGCTTGTTTGTCTCCTGTCCTTAAGCAGAAATAAATTGACAACTGTTACAAGTATTCATTCAGTAGAATATAGACTTATAACAAGAAAACTTCTAGTAACTCACTAATTCTTCTTCAATCTTCCCCATTTACTCACTCTTCTCTAATATCTTGTTCCCATTAACTTAGGTCCCCTGTTCACATTCCATAGTGTTTCACTCATCTAAGCCATTACTCATCGATTTTATAATAGCATTATATGCATGGTCACGTAAAAAAAAGTGTACAGAAAGCAATGCAGATAAAATTAAGGGGCTATACTAAAAGACAAGTATATTGGTATTATGAAGCAGTCCGTCATATAAGATTTCAGTAGAATTCGTAGCAGTTCACAGACAATTTTGGGATTGAATGTATCACCTAAACCAGTACTCTGAATAGAAAAATGGACATATCCCTAAAATTCTCTGAGCTTTTTTTTTTTTTGATTTGTAACTTAGGGGATTATGTTACTTTACCTTTCAATATCATGCAACTCATTATTTCTCGGTTGTTCAATAATATCTTCAGGAATAAGTGAAAAAATCAATAAAATGGAGGAGATAGCACTGAATGGTTAGAGTGTATCCCTAATTGCTGAATGTATTTGCCTTCCAGGGAATATCGGGCAATCCATTTATTACTTTAATTACATCACACACAGAATTCAAACTTGGTAGGACAATCCATTATATAAAATAAATTTACAAAAATTCAAGATAAAGTTATGATTTATATAGTTAGAGTGGAGTTCAAAGAAATAAAATCTTTAGTATGTGAATGTTGATCTGGACCCTGCACTATCCTTGCTCATTGTATCTGAGAATAGATAGTCATAACTGGTAAAAATGTCAAGGTTTCTTAGTGAATCTTTTTCAAAGAACTTGGAGATATCTTGAGATAAAGAATGTTAATAGGTCACCTAGACCCATTTCTTGTCATGAGGTTAGATTTGACCTGCTATCTCTAGTCAAGAGAGAGTCCTAATTTCCAGTGTTTGGTCAATGGGCAAAGCTCCAGTTAGTAAGTCAAGACATTTAATTTTAGGTGTTAGAGGAGAAAATGAAAAAAAAAAAAAAAAAGGTTTAAATGATTACCTTATGTAACATAAACAACCCATACACTAATGTTCCTGATGCTTGCTTTTGAAGATTATCAATTTTGGGAGTTTCATTTGCTCTTTTGATAATTCTGGTTGGGACCTCAATCTTTTGAGCAGGACCAGCTTCAGATACAGATGATGCTTCCTTTATTTCCAGTATTCCTTTGCATTCAGAATAATCTGTTATGACAATGACTCTCTTTGGGATAAATTTCTCCTTCAGGTTGGTGTTGAAAACCTTCACTTGGAAGAATTTATTCTCTGTAGCCACCGTAGCATGAAACATCATGTTTTTACTCTTTTCCGGAGACTCAAATTCAAATGGCTCTGCTGCTTTCAGTACCATCACTATAAGTGGGGTCTTTTGAAGAATATTTCTTTTGGCAGCTGCCTGATGTTGGGCCTGTGGTCTCTGGTTCTGTATTGGACAGACACAGGGAGATAAAGTTACAAGTCTGAGCAGAGCATACAAAGTCACTTTCCAAAAGGGAACCCTTAATAACAATGTTAGGCCCCAACAACCTGTACAGATATTTGAAATTAGGGCTAGACTAAAGAGGGATTACTTAACAGAAAGGAAAGGATAACAAACTCATATCATTTAGCTAGAGCAACTAAGGTAGAAGACAACATGGATAAAGTTAGAACACCCTTCTTGAAACAGAATAACCTCCTTAAGTAAGTCATGATGCTCATTAAGAGCAACACAGAGCCGTGGATGATGAGAGCATTATCATGAATAGAATAAAACAATAAATTTAAATATACCCTCTAATCATTTAAAAGACCAAAAAATAAATAAAAATTGAAAGGGTAAAAAAAAGCAAAATAAACAAACTTGAATAGCATGGAAAATAGAGAAAGGTTACCACCAAAATCCACAAAACAACAATCAAAGGTTTTTAGTTTCAACTGGGGAACCTAGGGACATTTTGAGGGTCCAACTCATAGTGCCTCTCCCCAAGAAATAGTGCCCTGTTAAAAAGGTTAGAAAGAGATCTGCCAGGTTAAAATCTCCTTGTCTAAGTAGGCTCAGGTTGAAGCACTTTGGTTGAGCCATGTCTTCAAACATGAATAGACAATATTTCTCAATTTGCAGAGCAGACTAATTTATCCTCGTTATATTTTCTCCACAGTGGACTGGGCTCATCTGAGTGCAGTAGAATACTTTCATAGAAAAAAACTTGCCTAATCTGTAGAAGATAGTGTAAGACACAAGGGTAGACCAGAGGCTTCATAGGGATGAGTATATGGAGCTATGCTAGCTGCCTCCACAGTCTAGAGTGTGTAGTGTTCTGACCTGGGATACTACACACGGTGACCACCCATGTCACTATGTATATTAGACTGTATATACACCTGATTTCTGTCAATGTGATCAATTCATCATATCACAGGGAAGTGTATTCCCAAAAGCAAGTTAATCAGTAGCAATAGACTCAAATATAAGAATAACAGTACAAACAATAATATTCAAACTGACAAGAAAGTTACAGGACCCACATGAAAGAAATTATACAATTCCTCTGAAGGACATAAAAGGAGTAATGATGGACACAAGTATGTTCATTGCAAAGACTACTGTGATAAGGCATATGAGGAAGTCAATCTATAGGGAATTGTGTTCAAAATAAATTTTGGTACATCCATGCAATTAAATATTATATAGGCACTATATAATGGTTTATATTTCTGTTTATGAACTTGAGAAGATGATCCTGATATGTTAAATAAATAAAACCAGTAATAGAATATTGACCACTGTATGATACCATTTTGGGAAAACTTACACATATACTTATGAAGGAAAGTATATGAAAGAATAAAGAGAAAAAATTGGTAATAACTGGATGGTAGTGTTTCAAATAATTAACAATTATTTTTGGATTGATTGATCGTTTGTAAACATTTCCTCAGTTTCTAAAATAATCATGTTGTACTTGTGTGCAGCAATGAAAGGGAGAGAAAGAGAAAGAAAGAAGGAAAGAGAGAAATTGTTCATGGTGTTATGGCTTTCCCTCTGCAGCTCATAACGTTTTGTTGTTCATTGTGTGTGTAGTTATCTAGCGCTGCTATAACAGAAATACCACAAATGTGTGGCTTTAACAAACAGAAATTTATTTTCTTACAGTTTAGGAGGCTACAAGTCTGAATGCAGGGTGTTGGCTCTAGAGGAAGGCTTTCTCTCTCTGTTGGCTCTGGGTAAATGTCCTTGTCTTTTCAGCTGCTATTCCTTGGCTCCTTGGTGATCTTCATGTGGCATGTTGTCTGTCTTCCCCCATCTCTGCTAGTTTGTGTTTAATCTCTTTTATATCTCAAAAGAGATTAATTCAAGATACACCCTACACTAATTCTACCTCATTAACATAACAAAGACAACACATTTCCAAATGGAATTATAACCACAGGCATAAAGGTTAGGAATTACAATACATATTTTTTTTGGGGGGAACATAATTCAATCCATACCATTGTGTTTCCAGGAAAAATAAATATTTCCCTGTTTGGAGTAAGAATTATTGTGGTTTTCACGTGTTATTAGATTGACATTGATGTGAGATATAAAAGATGGGCTAACTCAGTGCTGAGAACAGTAAAACATAACAAGAATGAACAGAAATGTAACTATAAAATGTGGTCCAGCTGCAGTTTTGGATTTTTCCAAACCTAACTCTCTTTTCTCTTTCATCACATTCTTGGTTGTATTTGTGGCCTTTAGGCCTCAATACGATGTCAGTTCCTTTACTGAATTAGATGACTCTGATTGTCCTTCATTAGCTGATATCTTAGTTTTCATTATTTCACTGAATAAATGCATTTATTGAGAGCTTTCTGTGAGGCAAGCATTGAACTAAGCACTGGGATATAATGGTTACCCTCACAACAGGGTAGCACTACCCTAGGAGCTCATAGTCAGGTGGGAAAACAAAGATTTATTAACGACACTTGACATAAATGATAGAAAAGAAAATAATTAGCTCTTACAAAAGTGAGCGGCATTAAGATTTCACCTATACACTTGTGGTTTCTAGGAGTATTCAATATTAGGGTATCAGTATTGGGATCTGTGGGTAAAGAGATTTGGACAAGATAGGAGCTTTCCAGGTTAGGAAACATGGTGTGTGAAAACGCTGAAGAAGAAAGGAGCAGGGTGTATGTAGAAGAAACTTTAGTGTATTGGTGAGCAAAGGGAAGCAGTGTGAAGGAGACTTGAGTGATAGACAGTGAACACACTGCTGTATTCACCTGTATATTATGATTGCTGAACATCTCTTTCCCTCCTGGGGACAACACAACAGGGAAAACTACTTGAGGTTAGAAATAATGTCAAGTTCATCAAGTAACCCTTGGGGAAGCAAAAGATTAAAAAGCAGTGAATTCTTAATATATAGATTTAATTAATTAATTAATTATTGGAGTTATGTTTAAGTAGAACACAAGATCAGAATCTTGAGGTTGTCTCCTGTGTTTTGGGTTGAAGAAAATGAAGGAAAAGTGGAGCAGGAAGAACGTACCTCGGGTAAGGAAGTGGATGGTGGAGTTGATGACGAGATCTGGAGAGGTGCAGGGTGACCCAAGGTGGCGGATGTGCTGGCTCCAGAAGGACAGGGAGGCTGACTCTGTCCCTGGGAAACCTTACTCCTTTTGATTCCAGACTTCTCTTTGGTTGTGTTTTTCCTTTTCTGAAAGTAATTTAATTTTTTCTTTAATCTTTTTGAGTATCATTTGAAGCAGAACACATTTTTATTACTGTCTAGTAGGTATACTTAGACCTCCAAATGTTTTCCTTGGGAACTTGAGAGAGTGCTGCCCACCGTCTGGCCAATTGTGAGAGGTGGGCACAGAAGGCATCATTAAACAGAGGGGAAAGTTACACACATCAGTCCTCTAATGATCTCTGTGGTGGGATTTAACTGACTTGGAAGTAGTAAATCCAGGTTTGCGCAAACATGAGCAAAACAACTTTCCAATCTGATTCTCATGTTACCACATCTTTGTAGTAGGGATGACGATATCATAGTAATTTACATTACATTTGTAAAGTGCCTAGCTCATTCCCTGGCATGAAGGAGATGGTCAATAATTATTCAGTTTGCTAAATATGAATCCTAACAGAAAATTAATCAAGAGCGTGAATAGGGAGAATAAATGGAAGCGACAAAAAATAAATTTCTTCTGTGGGTTTGCAAGCCTGTTTTTCTCCCTCAACCTTACCTGGCCCCCAGGAGTTTCCTCCACTCTTTCAGATGTCACATTATTACTTGTGGTGGGTGCAGGTGTAGCTGAATCCGCTTCTGCCTGACTGCTCTTTCTCATAGGAGTTGTTTCTTTTGCTTTGATTTTCTTTGCAACTGATTCAAAACAAGACACAGTGTAACAGAGAAGTTGGTTTAAGGCAACTGAAGCAATTTTACTACTATTTTCTCTCAGCTCCTACTTGTGTGTCTAGGTATGCATTCGTTCCCTCTACTGCATTAGCCCAGCCTGGCCGCAACGTGAATAGTAGTCACAACACTGACACAGGCACAGTCTCATGTGTCCTCAATGGTTCCTTCATGTCCCTGTGCAGTGAGCATGTCCATCCCATCTCTAGACTCCCATGCAACTCAGTCAAATCCCTTCCCAACACTGATGTCTTATCATTTCCTTTAAAACATCCATTGTTTTATTCATGAAGACTGTGAAAGAGCTGTTCAAAATAAATAAATCAGTGAAAGGAAATATGATATGGATTTTTGAAAAGACAGTGTTAAGAATGGCCTTTGACTTTTGAAAATCTCTTTTTGGTTTTAACTAGTGATTTTATAAGAGGAGAATTTCTTTAAGCCTCTGAGAGGTAGGTATTCATATAAGTACTGCCTCATCTTTGTTACTAGAGAGGATAATAATGATGGAGTAAATATTCTTAAGAGACTATTGCATTGATTGGTTAAACATCAATATATAAAAAGGAATCACAATTTTTGCAATCTTATTTTGTCATGTTTAACATTTCTAATGTACTGGAAACCTTAGCCTCTCTCATTAACTCTGTCTGCCTTTTTTCCTTTACCTGCACACCAAATACGTTCTCCAAAATAATAACAATCCCCTTTACAGGAAAGGAAATGCCTTGAGTTGTCAAGGAGATGTCAGCTGAGATACCACTGTTATCATGGCTACTGATCATAAATTGGAAAATGAATGTTTCAACTCTGACCAGGAATGATTCTATTCAAATTTTAGGAGGGTTGAGTAGTGAGGTTGTGAAGGAGTCTTCCATATTACCTTTTGATTTCTCTAATTTAAGCGTTTTAACAAGGTCTTTAAGTTGTGGCATATCTTTGAATAATTCTATTAGTTTGTCCACACAGGCAGCTCCTCGGAACTTTTCTTCCATCAAGTCTGCAATCTTAATTCTGTTATATTCATCTTGCATTTTTTTAGTCAGTTGCAAATCATGGGCTAGTAAAGACTTAACTGTGTTAAACTGATAATCATTGATGGCCTCTAATCCTTTCAGTAGAATGATTTTCTTGTATTCATTCACCATCTCTCAAGTTATGGTTGAGCCTACAAGAGAAAAATGACAGAGTGTTACACATGTATACAGAGAGTTTAAAAGACTGGACATTCCTATGTGAGTGAGTGGCTCATGTCAAAACGTTGGTCATGGTGTGAGTGACAAAGAGGAACTAAAATCACAAGACACAACTTTGTGGAAAATATGTTGGTAACTACTGCATTAGGAAGTTCTAAGAAATTCTCTATTGTTGATGATAGTTGACTTAGGTCAAGGGTATGTGTGGTAGAAGGAGGTCTGGAAATAGGCAATCGTTCTGATATTTAGAGAAGGGACACTGTAGTATCAAAGTCCCCATTTCTTTTCCCATCCTTTATTAGGCCTGGGAGCTGGCCTTTAGTGCCTGCCTCTTGGCTCCTGACTCTTCCTATACCTAGTGTGACTGAAAGAGCTTATATGCAAAATGTGCTGCAGCCTGTCTTTCTATAGGATTATGCTTCTGCCATGGTACTACAGTTCCGTGCTGGGGTACCTACCCTTGCCCATTAGGCATTTTTTAATCAGCTTTTATTAGCATCATCTTCCTTTGGGGTTGGACCATGTCTTCTGTGTCCTAAGTGTACATAATACCGTCACTTTGTTAGACTCCTTATCATTGTCACTCTGCTGCTCCCTAGAGTCGTAATCGACTCAGAGGCAACGGGTTTTGTTTTGTTTTGTTTTAATGCAAGACTGCAGAATTTATTGGTCTGTCAGTCTTATTTTAACAGTTGCTTGATTTTCCCCCTTAAAGGTCCAATTTCTCTAGTCAGGTTTTTTTTTTTTTTAAGTATAGCCAGTCATCTTTATATAAAACCAGGGTTCTATCTCACTTGAAATTCTTCAACATTTCTCCATTTTCTTCATAAAAAACCCTTCCTCTTTAGTATGGTTTGAAAGGCCTTGGAAGGCCTACAGAATGGGAGAAAATTATCTGGTAACCATATATCTGATAACAATTTGATATCCAGAATATATAGACAACTCCTACAACTCAACTACAAAAAGACAATGTAATTTAAAAACGGGCAAATGGCTTGGATAACATTCTTCCAAGGAAGATATACAAATGGCCAATAAACACATAAAGAGATGCTCAACATCATTAGTCATTAGGGAAATGCAAATCAAATGTGGTTGTAGCAGTACATCCACAGGGAACTGCCAGAAATTTAAACCAGATTCAGAAAAGGACATGGAATGAGGGATATCATTGCTGATGTCAGATGGATCTTAGCTGAAAGCAGAGAACACCAGAAAGTTGTTAGCCTATGTTTTATTGACTATGAGAGGGCATTCCACTGTGTGGATCATAACAAATTTTGGATAACATTGCAAAGAATGAGAATTCTAGAACTGTTCTCATGAGGAACCAGTACATAGACCAAGAGGCAGTCATTTGAATAGAATCAGGGGATACTGCATGGTTTAAAGTCAGGAAAGGTGTGCATCAGGGTTGTATCCTTTCACGCATCAGCTGCTCAAAGGGAGAAAGATGTGGCAGTCTGCTTCCACAAAGATTACAGCCTTGGAAACCCTATGGGACAGCTCTACACTGTCCTATAAGGTCTCTATGAGTCGGAATTGACAGGATGACAGTGGGTTTATTCAATCTGTATGTTGAGCAAATAACCCAAGAAGTTCGATTACACGAAGGATTAGAGAAAGACTCATTAACAACGTGCATTATGCAGATGAGACAACCTTGCTTGCTGAAAGCAAACAGAACTTCAAGCACTTACTGACTGAAGATCAAAGACTACAGCCTTCAGTATGGGTTGCACATCAATATAAAGAAAACAAAAATCCTCACAACTGAACAAATAAACAACAACATGTACACTGAAAAAAGATTGAAGTTGTCAAGTATTTCATTTTACTTGGATCCACAATCAATGCCCAGGGAAGCATCAGTCAAGAAATCAAATGAAGTGCCAACATCATCCTAAATGGAGAGAGTTTGAAAACACTCCCCCTGAGAAACGGAACTAAACAAGGACTCCTCTATCACCACTCTTATTCAATATTGTGCTGGAGGTCCTAGCCAGAGCAATTAGGCTAGAAAAAGAAATAAAGCTCATCCAAATTGGTAGGGAAGAAGTAGAAGTATCTCCATTTGCAGATGATATGATCTTATGCAAAGAAAACCCCAAAGAAGCAGCAAGACAACTACTGGAACTAATAGAAGATTTCAGCAGTATCAGGATATAAGATAAACATACAAAAATCAGTGGGATTCCTCTACACCAACAAAGAGAACTTGGAAGAGGAAATCACCAAATCAATACCATTTACAATAGCCCCCAAGAAGATAAAATACTTAGGAATAAATCTAATTAGAGACGTAAAAGACCTATACAATTAAAACTACAAAGCACTACTGCAAGAAACCAAAAGAGACCTGCATAAGTGGAAAAACATACCTTGCTCATGGATAGGGAGACTCAACATTGTGAAAATGTCTATTCTACCCAAAGTGATGTACAGATACAATGCAATCCTGATCCAAATTCCAATGGCGTTTTTTAATGAGATGGAGAAAAAATTCACCAACTTCATTTGGAAAGGGAAGAGGCCGCAGATAAGTAAAGCATTACTGAAGAAGAAGAACAAAGTAGGAGGCCTTACACTATCTGAGTTTAGAACCTATTATACTGCCACGGTAGTCAAAACAGCGCAGTACTAGTACAACAGATACATAGACCAAAGGAATAGAATTCAGAATCTCGGCATAAATTCATCCACCTATGAGCAGCTGATATTTGACAAGGTCCATAGTCCATTAATTGGGGGAAAAGACATTCTCTTTAACACATGGTGCTGGCATAACTGGATATCTACCTGCAAAAAACTGAAACAAGACCCATACCTCACACCATGCACAAAAACTAACTCAAAATGGATCAAAGACCTAAATATAAAATTGAAAACGATAAAGATCATGGAAGAAAAATTAGGGACAATGCAAGCCCTAATACATGGCATAAACAGAATATAAACCATAAGTAACAATGCACAAGCACCAGAAGAGAGACTAGATAACTGAGAGCTCCTAAAAATTAAACACTTAAGCTCATCAAAAGACTTCACCAAAAGAGTCGAAAGACAACCTATAGACTGGGAAAAAATTTTTGGCTACAACAAATTCAATCTAAAATCTACAAGATACTGCAAAACCTCAACAAGAAAGAGACAAGTAACCCAAATAAAAAATGAGCAAAGGATATGAACAGGCACTTCACCAAAGAAGACATTCAAGTGGCTAAGAGACATATGAAGAAATACTCACAATGTTTAGCTATTAGAGAAATACAAATCAAAACTACAATGAGATATCATCTCACCTGAACAAGGCTAGCATTAATCCAAAAAACACAAAGTAATAAATGCTGGAGAGGTTGTGGAGAGTCTGGAACAGTTATACATTGTTGGCGGGAATGTAAAATGGTACAACCACTTTGGAAATTGATTTGGCACTTCCTTAAAAAGCTAGAAATAGAAGTGCCACACGATCCAACAATCCCGCTCCTTGAAATATATCCTAAAGAAATAAAAGCCATCACACAAACAGATACATGCACACCCATGTTCATTGCAGTACCATTCACAATAACAAAAAGATGGAAACAACCTAGGTGCCCATCAACAGATGAATGGATAAACAAATTATGGTATATTTACACAATGGAATACTACACAACAATAAAGAACAATGATGAATCTGTGAAACATGGAGGAATCTGGAAGGCATTATGCTGAGTAAATTTAGTCAGTCACAAAAGGACAAATATTGTATAAGACCACTATTATAAGAACTCAAGAAAAGGTTTGAACACAGAAGACAACATTCTTCAATGGTTATGAGGGTGGGGTGGGAGGTAGAGTGTTATTCACTAACTAGATAGTAGACAAGAATTATCTTAGGTGAAGGGAAGGACAGTACACACTACAGGGGAAGTCAACACAACTGGACTGAACCAAAGCTAAGAAGTATCCTGAATACAAACACTTCAAGGGACAGAGTAGCAGGGGCAGAGGTCTGGGGACCATGCTTTCAGAGGACATCTAGGTCAATTAGCATAACAAAGTTTATTAAGAAAAATGTTCTGCATCCTGCTTTGTGAGTGGCATCCGGGGTCTTAAAAGCTAGCGAGTGGCCATCCAAGATGCATCAATTGTTCCCAGCACACCTGGAGTAAAGGGGAATGAAGAACACCAAAGACACAAGGAAAACATTAGCCCAAGAGACAGAAAGGGCCACATAAACTGAAGACTGCAACAGCCTGAGCCCAAAAGAACTAGATGGTGCTTGGCTACCACCAATGACTGCCCTGACAGGGAAGATAACAGAAAGTCTCTGTTAGAGCAGGAGAAAAGTGGGGTGCAGAACTCAAATTCTAGTGAAAAAACCAGACTTGATGGTCTGACTGACACTGGAGGAACACCAGAGAGCGTGGCACCTGGACTGTCTGTCAGCCCAGCACTAAAACCATTCCTGAGGCCAATTCTTCAGTCAAAGATTAGACTGGACTATGGGACATAAAATGATACTCGTGAAGAGTGTGCTTCTTAGCTCAAGTAGGTACATGAGACTAAATGGGCAGCTCCTGTCCAGAGGTGAGATGAGAAGGCAGAGAGGGTCTGGAGCTGGCTGAATGGACATGAGAAATTGAGGGGGAATGGAGGACTGTGCTGTCACAGTATAGGGAGAGCAATTAGGGTCACCTAACAATGTATGTATAAATTTTTGTATGAGAGACTAACTTTAATTGTAAACTTTCACTTAAAGTACAATAAAATGAAAATTAAAGAAAAAGAAGAAGAAATCAAATGATGAACTGCATTGGGCAAATCTACTGAAAAAAAAAGCTCTTTCAAATGTTAAGAAGCAAAGATGTCACTTTAAGGACTAAGGTGGTGCGCCTGACCCAAGCCATGGTGTTTTCAATCGCCTTGTATGCATGCAAAAGCTGGACGATAAGGAACACCGAAGAAGAATCAATGCCTTTGA